AACGACCCCACACCATCACACCACAAGAAGCGCAAATACCCCGAGCCTGACTCCGTCAACGAGAGGAGCGGAGGCAAGAAAGGGAGCTCCCCCATGAGATTTAAACTGAAAGCAGCCGCATTCACGCGAGTCCTTTGCGAGGATGGTCAACCAGTGGGAAAGTCCGGAGCGGCGAAAGTTCTCGGGGTGGATCGCAGGCGCGTCATCACCTGGGTCGGCGAGGAGACAACAATGAAGAAGCTGGTGGAGGAGAAGCCTAGACTATCGAAGGCAAAATCGATTCACGCTGGTATGGCACCTACGACAAAGATGTAGTCCTCCAGGTCTTGTTCGACCGCGGCTGTCGTAGGTGCCATACCAGCGTGAATCGATTTTGCCTTCGATAGTCTAGGCTTCTCCTTCACAAAACATGTAGTTCGCCAGGTCTTGTTCGACCTCGGCTGTCGTAGGTGCCATACCAGCGTGAATCGATTTTGCCTTCGATAGGCTAGGCTTCTCCTCCACCAGCTTCTTCATTGTTGCCTCCTCGCCGACCCAGGTGATGACGCGCCTGCGATCCACCCCGAGAACTTTCGCCGCTCCGGACTTTCCCACTGGTTGACCATCCTCGCAAAGGACTCGCGTGAATGCGGCTGCTTTCAGTTTGAATCTCATGGGGTAGCTCCCTTTCTTGCCTCCGCTCCTCTCGTTGACGGAGTCAGGCTCGGGGTATTTGCGCTTTTTGTGGTGTGATGGTGTGGGGTCGTTGCACTTCCTTCACACTATGCGACGATGACCTACCTACCCATACAGCAGAGCTACATGCCAGCACTGGCATGGTTGCAGGGGTGAAAGTTGCCATGGCCAGCACTGGCATGGTTGCAGGGGCGAAAGTTGCCATGGCCAACACTGGCATGATTGCACGGGTGAAGTTGCCCCGAAATCGCTCGCACTCCACTACTACCCTACTGTAGGTTGCGAGTCATCGCACCCCTGTGCGGTAACGTCGGACCCTGTGCGGAAATCGAATAGAGTAATTTTGCCATTTAATTTTCGTCGCACCCCTGTGCGACGACTCCGGACCGTGCGCTGACCCGCAACCTTACGATACATGGCTTTCTGCCAGCTGCATACCTCGGCATGCGCACAATCCCAGACCCTTCCACTATTGTGTTTGATTGTTATGGAGAGGGTATGCAGCAGCACAGCAGCATGCAGCGGTGGAGACTTCGAGCATGCGTGCAACGAACAAACACACTCTGTATCTTGCTCAATCCTACCGATCGGGCGACGTCACAAGCCTGCGGTAGGGGCTCAAAGCTTTGAACGTTTACAGAAGCACGTTTCCGTCCAGGAGAGCCGAGGAGGGGAAGAGCTAGACAACGGCAAGCAAGAGTACAACCACCCTCATCAGTACACAGCATCACGGATCTAACTGCATCGAGGTTTCTGGCTATCGCAGGCACGCTTCCGTTTGGCACAGAAGGTGCAGCTCTTGTAAGTTTGTCGCGGAGCGGCTGCCTCCACCGCCGCCTCCGCAGGTGTTGCCATGGAGGCTGGCTGCCCTGCTGGCTGGGGTTGGCATCGCATCCCCTCCATCACCGTGGGTTCTTGTGTCGTGGCCACCATGACATCGGAAGCCAAGCATCCGGGGAGATCCATTTGGCCGTTTCTCCAGCGGCCTCGTCCTTTACAGGCGGCCCGGGTGGAGATACCTAGAAGCTACGCTGCGCTGCGAGGGTAACGAGTGAGCTGATGAGCTGGTAGAGGGGACGCGGGCTAACTTTACAATCGCGAGAACCCCGAGAACCTTTTCAGGAACTGTTCCCCACCCGTTTGGATGTTTTGATTGGGCAGAGGGCACCGGCTGAACCCACTGCAGCAGTTATGATCCCTGAAGGACGCAGCGCGAGAGCTGTCAGTATATCCTCACAAACAATGCTGTTCGTAGCTGACCCTGGGACCTGGGACGACGAAAGAAAATTCCAGCGCTGCTCTACATGTGCTTTGCTGATCTCAAGAACGCCACTCGGTCAACCGAGGTCTATTGTGAAGGTGCACTCTTATCGGAGCCATCTGCTCAAGATGAGCATGGATTTTGAACGGATTGGGAGGTGGGGGTACGGGTGTCCATGGATGACGCGGAGCTCTCGGCCTGGGGATGCAATGCACGAAAATGACGACATTCTCAAGAGCCTGTTTCATTGTGGAACAAAACAGTGCATTCAGACACAATCGGCCGAAGAGAGGACAGAAGAAGAGTTTCGCAGCAACAAGGGAATTGCACGAGGGCAGGGTGCTCTATTTTATATTTTGTACAACAGCAGTTGTTGTTGTTGTTGTTTCTCACATTAGGCTGTTTCTTACAGAACCGGATTCTTGATCTGAAAAATCGATTTTTTCGGCCGGACAATAATCCGGCTGGGAAAAACGTACGACCCTTCTTACAGGAACCGGATTTTAGTCAGCGGATTTTTTGCTGGACTGTCATGTATTTTTGAAATGCAGCGCGCGCGCACGCGCGGGTAAAAAGTGCCAGCACGACATACACGCGCACAGCAGCAGACCTCACGCGGCAGACCACACAACCATTGCACAACATGCCCGATGGAGGTGCATCTGAGCAGCCTGAGGCGCTCTTGCTGAATTACAACCCATTGGCGAAGGCCGCTGTCGCACACTTTGGCGACTGCATCGAGGGCGGCATGACGAAGAAGCAGATAATGTTGCAGCTGCAGAGCGTTTGCGCCACCTACGCTTGCCAGGGAGTGAAGCGGAACGCTGGCTTGACAAACAAGAAGAGTAAACAGAAAGCTGCGACCCACGCTTACAAGACAATCGTGGTTCCCGGTTTTTT